CCGTTTTCCCAGAGTCGTCACATTTTGGGGATGTTTTCTCTCCCCGCAACTTCTGGAGTTTCAGAGCCGCTGAGCCGAGATGGGCACACACAGTGCACACCTCCTGCTGCATTGTGTCCCCCCTCAGTATACCCTGTCCTCACCGAGGGCTCAGCAGACACCCCAATACCGAAGCTGACCTCCCTGTTGTGTGGGGTTTTCTAAACAACCCCTCCCCAGCTCCCCAGTTCCCCTGGGGGGCCTCTTCTGCCCCCCACCTCCCCTGCCCGGCTCCCCAGGCTCTCATGGAGCTTCTTCCTCTTCTCTCTCCCTGTCTTCTCACTGACGACAGGGGACCCTAGGGGTACATCTTTTATCAAAATAGGAAAGATGGGGCACGCTCCCTGCATGAGATCACATTAAGGGATGTGTGCGTTGCGTTAGGTGATCCCCTGGTGTGGGGGGGCTGCAAGCCTACACTGGGGTGAGCATGTGCATATCTTCACTTTATCTATACATCACACTGAAAATGGTCGTGTTCAGTGCTCTTAGATGCCCAGATGAAGTGTCTGTATAGCTATGAGGCTTTGGTTTTAGATTGTTATTAACCAGGCAGGTAATTGATTTTAACTTGGTAAAAGATAGATCTTACCTTTGGGTTCCTATCATTCACACCAAGGCTACTCTCAAAAAAAATGTTTTTCAAAATGACAGTCCCCCTGATCTCATGGAGTAGAAGTTTAATTAAATTTTTTAAATTTTTCTGACTAATTAAATTTTAAATTAATTTTTCTGACTAATAGTCAGATATCTTCAGCATGGATGTTCATTCTCATTGTCTTGAGCCTGGTGTAACAGACAAGGTCATCACACCAGTTTAAGTCATTCCTTGCCAGTACCATTTTTATTTCAGCTACTGAGTTTCTCTTTGTTTTACATTCAACTGCTTCCTAGTAAACTTAAGGCAATTCCTAGTAAAACTAAGCTAAAACCAGTGTAGATCGTTTTGTGCATGACACCTCTAATTTAGCTAATGCAAAGTTCTCATCACGCAGACAAGACCCAGCAGAAGGGAAAGCATCTTGAATGGGCTGCAGAATTTGATTCTCATCCAGAGACACAGTTGTCCTTGCTACTGTTGCCTAGAGGGAGAGCAGAGTGGGGAAACCTGTACCTGTGTTTCTTTCTAGTCTGTGAATAAACAGAACGGCTCCAGTCTCCAGGGCTTTCTAGGTTATACCAGGAGTATAAAACTCACATTAAAGAAATTGTTAAAAGCCGGCTTGAAATAATAGATTCTCATGTTTCTCTCTTCTTCTAGTTGAGCATTCACACTGAAGAAACCACCACACACTTCTTATGTATCTGCTGGTTGACCATTTGGACTGTAATATACAGCAATTAGATACTATGACACTAAGGAACCTGTCAGGTCTCAGTTCTGCAAGGGTCCCCATGTCAAGTACCATTCATCACATAATAAATCTATGAATCTGAATAAAGAGAGGCTGAAGTACAACAAGACATCTTTTAGAAAAAGAAACAAGGGCGTTTACCTCTTACTTTGCCAAGAAGGCTAAGATGAGCTGCCATTTGTGGCTATGAAAGTGCTCTGAGGCTTTGCCCTTCTTGCTACACAGCGTTATCTTGAACCTTCAGCCCCAGCTGATCTGTGTGCCGTGTAATCAGGTCTGGGAGCAGCAGAGCTCCTACAAAGAGAGTCCTAGGTGCTGAACATCTCAGATCTTGTACCAAAGTTTCACCTGGGAACACGTGAAAATGTCAGAACCATAAATTGGCTTCTCTCTCCTCTTTAACACAGCAGTAGCACTGCCTTCCCAAGTCCCCTCTTTCCTTCTGTCTTGCTCTAGCCACAACCAGCTGCTGCTTGACAGCAAAGCTTACATGCTGGTAAACGCAAAGCTAAGGACAGTTGCTCAAGTTGTTCTTATGGAATTTGAGGCGCACTGGGTGCTCACCCCATGTTAGGGCTTAACCTATACAAGGCATAAAATGACTGGTTTTAGAAAAGGCAAAGATTTAATTCTTTATTCAGAGATAATGAAGTCATAATTTGAAGGCAAATACTTCTTGTTGATTATTAGCCAGGTAATGAGAAAGGTCTAGCTTGACTGTAAAATTTAGTCTAGAAACCCCACAGTAATCTGGAATTTTGCTAGCGTAACCTACGGAAACATTTGATTTTTGAGTACACTTTAAAACTTTAGTCTTGTATTTTAAAGTTTCAGAAGATTAAACCATTATTTAGCTGGTGAATATCCAACTGAGAGATATGAGATGGTGTCAATAGAAATGATTTTGTAAACTAGACAGGACTCATAGATGTTTATAGCGAGAACCCAGGCGCAAAAAGAGTTTAGCACCTGCATCCTCCTGTGGAGGAGGTTTAAGTGTCTGGGTTTGCACAAATGACAGGCGCTCATGAAGGTACTTAGCAGTGAAACATTAGTATCCAGCAGATTTTCATTGCTCTCCTGAGTACTGATACTGCAGTGCTATACCATTTTAATGAAAAAAAATCTGAAAATTTTACCAAGCCTAAAACTTTCAGTTATGGTGCCAAGTACTTTGGGAAATCCAGCCCTGGCCACGAGTAGGGCATAGCAGGCTGCTAAAGAGCCATTGCGGCAGAAGGGGTAGTGTGGCTGGGATTGCTCTGGGACATCTGTAAAGCAGAACTTGTAGGAGATTATACTGGTATGTCATCTAATACAGCTTAAAAATAAATAAATACATAAATAAATAACCTCTTGGGTTCCAAGCCCTTGCTCAGCTGCAGAACAAAAAGCACCACGCTTGGAGCCACTCTCCAGCTTCACTTTTGCGTTTCTGTCCCAACAGCCTGGTTATCTGCGTTTCAGCCACCATCTTTAGGAAGGACCGCTCTGCCCGTTCTCTGGATCAAGAAGGTATAAAGGAGAAAAAACACAACTACATCTAAGTACAAAAGTGCCTCGTTGGCCGCTCAAAAGCATAAGTATTTCAACTAGTAAATCACAGCAAATATTTCGACTAGTAAATCAGATACCACTAGTAAACCATACACGGCTGCCACAAAAGGCCGGGGAGGGAGAGTTAAGGCAGAGCAACGCGATGCTGCAGCGCGGACGGGGACCGGCGGGGGCTGCGCTGACCCCGCTAAAACGCTTTATACCCTTTGAGCTAAAGAAATCAAACTTCTGTTGCTGTTTGGAAAAGAAAAAGAGTGGTTATCAGTAGTGAAAATCGAGTACAGTGTGTGGCAAATTTAGCAGTGGTTCCTCACACATAAACACCTCTGCAAGCCTTTAAGAAGTGTTTCAAATTAATCTTGACACCCTCTGGGGTTTTGCAGCTGTCGTAAAGGTGTTAGGGTATGAAAGCAGGAAAAGAACCAGCACAGAAAGCTCTTTTATGCTTGCCCTTCCCAGCAGCATCTCTAAGAAGGAGTGGGCCAAGCAGAAAAAAACTTATATTTTGTACAGGAATGAAATGGGTCATCAACCTGTAGATATGGAAACAAGTTAGAAAATTTCAGAAGTGTGCTTTTGGGAAAAACAGGGAAAATGAAGGCATTGCATTTTCCCAATGCAGTAACTGTTGGCCTCTTCTGAAAATGTACTTTGATGAAGCGTTAATTCATTCCTGCATTACAGCTCCTATATTCTAATCTGGACACCTTATTATTAACTCAGAGATAAGTGCAGACAGATAGATCTCCCATGAATGCTTGTGAATAGAGAGCTCCTGATGTGCTGATCTTTCTGTCTCAGAAACATTAGCCATCTGAAATAGTTCATTCAATTTCCTCATCCCAACCCTCCTGCAAAAAGCTCTCCAACACTTTCAGGAGAAGCCAGTGCTCTGTCAAAAGAGAGAACTACCTTATATATATATTTATTTTTTTTTTTTCCCCTAGATTTGCAGTTGGACTGCAATCAAGTGGGGCTGCCTTGTATAAGGAAGGAGTACCTCCTCCTCTGAATTCATAGTGGTGTTCATGTTTCTGCCTGCCTGCATGATGGTCTGAAACTATGACGAGCTGTGGAGAGATACTTCCCTGCCTATGAAGCAAATTCTAGCCATGTTTAAGCTGAAGGAAATGCTTGCCACGTTTCTTTGCCTCCTGAGAGCTCGATGTAACCTCTCTTGACCCAGCCAGCAAGAAGGCATTTGGGACTTTTGCCAGGCTGTTTCTAGTGTGATGACTGTGTTTCGGTTGGGTTGTTTTCTGTTTTGGGTTTGGTTTGTTGTTGGTTTTTTTTTCTGATTTAACCTGTGGTGTTTTGAGAAGCGGGGCCGGGAGCGGTGCTGAACTCCTGCGGGGGTTGCGGGTTAAAGGACCCTCTGCTGCGGAGAGTCCCGGGCGGCTCCGCTTTGCCCTCGGCGCCCGGAACGGGGGGGAACGCGGCGGCGGTGGGGAGCGCTCGTTCGGGTCGCTCGGGAGAGAGGGAGTCCGGCTCCGCTCGCTTCCGTGCGCTTGGTTTGAGCTGTCTTTAAAAGAAATGGGCTCACTGGTAAGTATTTAAAAACAAAAAAAACCCCAAACAACCACCAAACAAACAGCAACAGCGCACTTGAGTCTGAATAAGAGGTTAATGGAAACGGCGGTGGGTGCAGTCAGCGAATAGGGCTCGGTTTCCTGACGCCTGTGCCCGGGCTCTGCTGGGTTTTGGGGGAAGCTCGATTTAATTCAGCGCCCATCCTCTTCACGTGTTGTCATCTGAGCCCCCGGCAATGTTCTGGTTTTTGCATGCACCTGCCTTTGCAAATCCCAACTCCCCACAGTTCTGCGTGGTGCTCCCACCGAGCCGAAGACACCTGGTCCATGTCCAGAGCCCTGCTATTTATAAGACTTGGCAGAACGGGGGAGGAGGAGGAGGAGGAGGGATGCAGCACCAGGCTGCTGGTTGCCTTTTGCATATGAAGTGTTCCTAATCCTTCTCTTCCTAGGGACTGTGGATCTGTGAAGCGCTTCCCTCCGATGTGAATGCAGTGTCCCCTGTGGGATGCAGTAGGTGATGCCCAGCTCTACTGCAATGGCAATTGGAGCTCTCTCCAGTTCTCTTCTCGTAACCTGCTGCCTCATGGTTGCCCTCTGTAGCTCCACCATACCTGTACAAAAACTGGCCAAGGCTCAAGACAAACAGGAGATAAAGGCGAGCCAGGAAAAGAGGGATCACACATCGACAAGGGACAGCCAGACAGGCCCGGGTAAAATGAACGAGATCGGCAGGAGCGGGAGGGAGGAGGGCAGCAGGGACTGGAAGAGCAAAGGAAGCAGGAACTACTCCAGCAAGGAGTCTTGGACTAAACAAAAGCAGGCTTGGAACAGCCAGGGGACAAGCAGTAAATCCGGGAGTGTTCCGGTGCAAGAGCAAAGGGATGCCGCTCCCCAGGACCCTCAGGCAGCTGAAGACGCGTCTCTCCCAGAAGCTGTTGCGAGCGTCACTCCCGAGCCTCCGGAGGAGTACGCCTACCCGGACTACCGCGGGAAAGGCTGCGTGGACGAGAGCGGCTTCGTCTATGCCATCGGGGAGAAGTTTGCGCCGGGCCCCTCTGCCTGCCCCTGCCTCTGCACCGAGGAGGGCCCACTCTGCATCCAGCCTGAGTGCCCCAGGCTCCATCCGCGGTGCCTCCACGTGGACACCACCCAATGCTGCCCGCAATGCAAGGAAAGGAAGAACTACTGCGAGTTTCGAGGGAAGAACTACCAGACCCTAGAGGAGTTTATGGTAAGGGCTGAAGCCAAAAGGCGTTTTGGGGGTCCTTCTGCCGTTCAACGGGGTGTTATGTTCTTCAGGTTCTTTCTCGGAGGACGTTATGGGTCTCCCCCCTCCCCTGCTCATTTCTGTGGTGGCACTACTTCTTCAGGGTTGTAAAATATTCCCCTTAAACATGACCTTTCTTGCTCCATGATACTGTAACATTTTTAGACGAGGGGGCTGATCTTTATTAATTCCTTTGGTATTTACAGTAAAAAGTGCTACTTGAAAGGATGCTACTCAGTGGTGATGTGGATTTTATGAGAATTTCCAGCATTACATTTGTTTCCTTATTTAACTGTTAACTGTGAAACTTCTACCTTGCAGGGATGGAGCAGGGTTTTGTGGGCTGACTGCTATTCCTGGTAATCAGTCTGTGATGATACCTTTTTCCTAACAGTCAATTCTCTTTTCCTTTTTAACCGTTTAAACTGTGCCACCGAGGTTGCGTAGTGTTTGCTTTCTGAGAATGACTATGGGCCTTCTCTTTAATAAGAGCCTGCCTTGCAGTCTGAGTTACAGTGATACCTAAACAACAGGCTTGAAAAGCTTTATGTTTAGGGAAATCCTTTTAGAATACGGCCTTTTTAGCACCGCTGTGCGAGGTCATTATCATTGAAAATGCAACTTATTACAGTGCACTGTAAAGTTTTACAGTTGGGGCCAATTCTCTGGTTGCTTACCTTGCCTTTTTCCCTTTAGTGTTTTACTGTGGCTGAGATCTGCGAGCAGGCTCTAAGAATCGCTTGCAAATGACTGTAAGACACAGGGCTGGTTCAAAACCCGTTTTTGAACACAGCAGAGGTTTTTGAGCTGAATGTGTTGAGGGGAGGACGAAACCCAGTTCACGGTTCTGGCAGCTCGAGCCCCCTCAGGATGGAGAAAAAGAAAATGTATTTGTGTAGCCTGTAAATAAGTTGCCACCTCTGCTCTCTGTGGTATTTCTGTGTTCTTGGAAACTTAACTGCGATTCATAATGTCTTTCCACATTCTTCAACTTCTGGAAAAATAAACAAATAAATAAAGGAACAGAATTATGCTTTCCAGAATGAATCAGTCTCTCCCCTTGTTCTCTTTAGGCAGTAATGTGTAGATCATCAGTGAGTTTTCAAAGCATGGCAGAAAGCATCATGTCATCCTCCCTTTTTCCATCTCACCCTCAAGGGTTGCATAAAGCTTTGGGGTGGTGAATTTCTGCTTTAAAAGGGAGAAGGTACTTTTAACAGCAGCTGGCTGGTGTGACCTTTTTGCATGGGGATTGAGATATCCTTCCTTTTCCAGAGAAGTTAATTCTGAGGGGTGGCCAAAACAGTGATGCTTCTGCACGTGTTCTCTGTAGGTCTCCCTATCAAAGTTTTAAAGGCTTGTCCCACACGCTCTCCTGATGAGTTGCATTTCTTTGTCTTTGCATAGTGGTGTCGTATTAATGGCTGTAAAGCAAGCTTAAAATACCTTATTGTGTTAAGCGTGTAGTGAGAGGATAAAACTGTAGGGCTCCCTGTTACGTTGGAACATGGCTGGTGGCCTTGGTAAAAAGGGAATGCTGAACGGTGACATTTACAGAAATGTTCTGAAAAGACTGGCTTTCAGCTTTCTTTTTAACCGTCTTTAGCCCTTAGTGCTGATACCTTCCTGTAATGAAACGTCGGTTCCTTTCCTGCTTTTTGTTAGCCAGCTTTGGAAACCTGAATGGGAAGGGATGCCTGCTCGGGATGCGCAAGGAAAGTTACCGACACAGTTAGGCAGTGGAACTGCAGCCTGTTTATTTGGATGTGTGAGGACATTGGTTCTTTGTTGGGCTTCATTGTTGGTTCCGGTATTGTGAGCACAAAACTGTAAATGCAGCTGTTTGCCCACGCCACTGCGATGCGTGGAAAGGCCTGGCGAGGTAAGGGGCAGATGTCGTCAGGTCGCTGCTGCTCAGTGGAAGCAATTGCAAATGCAAGTAACTGCACATGCAAGTAATTGCACATGATGTCAAAGGTCATTTTACAAGTTGATGGTCTTAGAGAGGTTACTAATATGCTATCTCTTGATTACGGTCAGGGAAGGAGGTATAAATGGATAGCAATCTGATTTCTCTGAGTCTGCACCTACTATTTGTGGCAAAGAGTACGAGAGGTCACTGCAGGAAGAAAAAGGGGACCTCCTAACTTTTAAGTGATGTTACCTTCACAAACATTTGTGCATAGAGGTGTAAATATGCATGCAAGTTTGGGTGTTTGCTTATATAAAATTCATATATGGCTTGGCACGGCAAAAAATTGCCCTGAGCATAGCCGGTGCTAACTCTGAAGCTGAGCGTGCCAGGGAATGGGAGGTTTGATGCGTTTCTTCTCTGATTCACAGCCCTTCCCGCAGGCTTTGCTTGTGTGTGTGTGTGTGTGTGTGTGTGTGTGTGTGCATGTGTTTTTCTATTTGCAAAAAGGGCATGAATGTCGACAGAAAACACACAGTGCAGATGTGGGGGAAGGATGAGGGCTCATAAAGCTGTTTCCATCAGCACCACTCTACTCTCCTGTGGGTGTCGCGAGGCAGGATGGCAGAGGGATCACAGCATCCCTACCAGTGGAAATGGGAGCAGAAGACTTAGTTGGTGAGATGCAATGAGGATAAAATTCTGTACTGAGCTGCAGATCGCTGAGCACATGCTCCACTAAATGTTTTTCAGTGTTACAATAAGATTTGAAAATGCAGGCGGACTTATAAAGTCATAGCCTTACAAGGACCATAAATTCTCTTCAGAAATGTGATATGGTTTGGGAAAGACCTACGTTTTTTGAAAGGTGTTGCTTTGTGTGTTTTGTTTAGAATTTCTCTGCTGCCAAAATCTGTGTGTGTTTGTGAATAACTTGGAAATCTGAAAGTCAACAAGCCCAAACAGATTTTGAAACATCTGTGGTATTTTGAAGGCATAGAGAAGTAAAACCAAGGCTGGTATCTTTATTCTTGTCAGCCTAACCCCATTACAGTTCTCTTGAGTTGTGAAAGTGGCAAGGAAACATTAACAAAAATTCCAGCACAATAGCAAATCAGTTTGGGATTATGATCGATTTTATATTTTTTTTTTTAAACTTAGATGTTTTCAAGGCTCAAGGAACCAAATGTAGACTATATTTTTTAATTCATATTTTTTTGTTGGTTTTTGGTTTGTTTTGTTTTTTAATTAGACTTCAGCACGTGGAAGGGGGGAAGAGAAAGCTCAAATTACTTTGGACCAGAACTTCAATGAGTGAATATGATTTGTCACTGCTTAATTATGACAATTTACAGGAAGTTGCTGAATGAACCTACTACCCCTACTAAGCTACAGTTTTCTTCATGCCCCACTAGTGGGAAATCTACCTGTTTACACAGTGGTGTGTTTGCTGTTTTACATCTGCAACTCCATTTATACATCTGCTCATAAACTTACCTTCAAACAACTCTAAAGAAGTTATTTTTTATTGCCATCTGCACTCTTAATTTCTGCAGGTTTAACTGCTGCCTGGTGAATACTTAAGACTTCTGTGCCTCTTGTTATCTTCCCACAGTTTTTGCATTGGCAGAACTACTGCCACTGTAGAGTTAATAGCTTCATCTGTAGGCCACAGAGACGTGGTATCATCAGTCTTCTGAGAGAGGTTGATAGGTTATATTATTTCCAGTCCAGCCCGGTTATGTCAGATGTGTGAAGTGTGAGTGCTGCTGGGCTGGTCGTTTCCCAGATGAGCAAGTGGGATGCTCGTTGCGTTGGCTGCCACTAGGAACTGCGCTGCAGGGAAAGCGCTTACATTATAGGAGTCGAGGAGAGGAAATGAAGGACCCAATGTGTCTCTTCCCTCTGACTTATTTAGCTGTTGTTACATATATGCACTGTCTTACTGTCTCTGTCTCTCTCTAGTGATGATTATGACTCCAAGTATTAAGCTGCCATTAAGTTGCGGAAAGAAGTGGGGGTTTTCCACAGTTCTTGCTACATCCTGATGATCTATAAAAAACAATACGCTATCGTTTAGTCCAAAGATGAACAGATATATGTTGACATTAATACCGTTTTAGCAGCCACTGTGGTTCACTTACATGCCTGAAAAGAGCTTTGTAGGAATAAGCACATGGAGACCTTCCTTAACTCTGCTACCATTACTGGTATCGGTGGGTTGTACAGCTGGCAGTGCTTCTTAAAGGTGTACTGTAGGTATTCCCCTGAAACCCCACGATCTATTACACAGGAAGGGTATTCTTGGCTGCAGTGTCACGTTAACGGTGTACTTCGTTCAGGAAAGATGTCGTCTTCAAGTGTATGTGCTGTATATGATGGAAATGAATTATTCTGACTCATCATTATTAGCTAAAGATTTCATCAATTTTGTTTCTCACTCAATAGTATTTTCAATGCTTCATTAAATGGCTTCTTGTTCTAGGAATTTTAGGCTTCTGTCAAATTTGAAATTCTAGTAAACAACCTACTTAATTAGAATATGTTTAGATTTTACAGATGAGAGATTTTAGGAATAACATCTGTGTGCTGTCTTGTTTCTTGATTGTCATCAGATACTCTAGTTTTTACATCGCTTCTAATATTGAATAGCACAGCTACTAAGTGGAGTCCTGGGAGAGGGAATATCTGTTGTTGTAGTTACTGGTTTTCATTGAACTGTGATCATTGGCAAATTTGCATCTTTTTCAAGTGATAGCAAAAAACGTTGAAACCAGTTGAAAGCTATAGCTTCACTTTGTTGAGCCTGATCCTTGGGATGGAGTTCTAGGAGCATTCATGAAGTAGGATTAATTAAAAAAAAAAAAAAGAATCCTTCCCCAAAACTGTGTTTTCATAACTTGGTATTGTTTCTGTGTATAACTCCAGAGGAAAGGATTCTTCTTATTTGCTTGCAGATAGTTAGGAGTTCAGGTTTGCTGACACTCCAAATTTCACGCGCAGTTCGAGTGAATACCTGAGCCTCACAACTCTGAACACTGCATCAGAAACCTCCCATCCGCTGATACTCCAGCTCTGCAAGTGAACATGGCGGTTTATAAACGATTACAGGACAAAGTTCTTGTCCCAAAGCCTGCAATAAAAATCTGCAGTACTGGGCTGTCAGCCTCCTCATAGCAATTTATAAATGTATGGTGTGGTGTTATCCTGGGTAGAGTGTAAAGCAAAGAGAAAACTGGGAGTGAGTAGCTGGCAAAGGAAGCCTGAAATAAATAATAGTAATAAAAGCAGAAAGCAACACAGCGAGAGACCCTATTTAGGCTTTCTAAGGAGAGGGGATGGCGTGAAAGGATATGTGAGTGCATAAGCAAATAACAGCCCAGGCGGGTGGGAAGAGAAGTGGCAAAGCATGGATGAGCATTTAGTTGGAGATGATGCTGTGCAAGCATCAGCATGTTTGAACTTTGGAAGTGAGAAGGATGTGAAGGAGGCAAGCAAGCAGAGAATGGATTTGAGGAAAAATGTGATGGGCTGCTTAAGAAATGGGGAGAAGAAATCAGATGATCTGCAAGTTAGATGTCGAGGTGATTCTTCACGAAGAATAATTTCTTTTAGATTTGAGGTTACTGGGTTTTATTGGAGAAACACAATGAGTGGTTGTCTGGCATCAACTGGAACTGGAATGGAAAAGGGTCTATAGAGAAACGACCTCATCCTTAAGTAAACCCAGATTCTGCACAGATTGTGGATTTAGAGGATCACTGGTAGTAACATACCGCTGCATTTTTGCCCTGCGTTCTGAGCATGGATGCCAGTGTGGTTTTTTGGTGTACAGCAATGATATTTACAGTTTACCATTTATTGCTCTTTAGCACCCTTGCTTCCCTGTACCTCCAGCTCCTGGTGTGGTACGAGGACGTCAGCGATGCGATGTGCAGTGCCTGGTCAGGAACACTGAAGAGGACGGCTGGAATTATACATGTGGCAAATGCAGACATTTGAAAGTCCATTCTTTCCTTAATAGGGCCTTGATGATGTTTTGTTTGGAATTAATTTCTTTGAAGTAGGTCATTCAAGTAATTACCTTGTGGTACTCCTATTCTGTAGAGTTCTTCAAAACCAGTTACATTTCAGTATGTAAAAAGGATGACCCGTATTTTGCCTCACCTTTCTTTGAATCGCAGTTTCTTTTCAGAAGGTTATAAGTATTGCAAGAATGGTCCAAATACAATTAACTTACGGGAAATACCTGAATTCAAAGGATGTTTTTTTTCCTCACTTCTCTTTGAAAATGATGGTTTTCAATAAAATGCAACTCCTGCTAGCAAAAAGCTTTCAAACCTGGAAAAATTGCAATAAGGGTTTCCATTAAAAGAAGTTTCATATTTCATTTAGCAACATTTCTCTTCTTTAAATACAGGGTTGGTTTTTTTTTCTAAATTAATTTTTGAACCTCTAATAGAATTAAACCAGATTTCATCTAAATTATGAACTTAATTTTCTTGAAGTTCATTAGAAATGTGGTAGGGAAATTTTTGCATTAAAAGTTTAAAGTGTTCTTGTTCCCAAGATCCCTTTGACTTTCCCGTTGGGGGCACAAGTTCAGAGCAGAACCTGTGGCTTTTTTCTGCTGCGGTTCTGTAATTTTGCATGAGCGCAGCTCCGTAAATCAGATCCCAGAAAGCATTGTTTTAAAGGGGGGAGGAAAAAGAAGTGAGGGAGAAGACAATGCAGATGGGAAGGGAGGCATTCCACACTTCAGGAGGGTATTAAGTAAAAGAGTTAAAAAATGACTGGGTGTGTGTTTCAGGTTTCTCCGTGTGAGAAGTGTCGCTGTGAAGCCAATGGTGAAGTGCTGTGCACTGTCTCAGCGTGTCCCCAGACGGAGTGTGTGGATCCGGTGTATGAGCCCGATCAGTGCTGTCCTATCTGCAAAAACGGTGAGTGACAGCTGCAGAACCCGAAGGGGGCTTCGGTTGGAGAGATCCACGTTGCTCTGTTCTGGTTTTGAAAAAGAATTCCAATATTTTCCTTTTCCCCCAAATGGAGATGGAGAAGAGTTTTCTGTGGGTGGTGTCTTTGCAGTGTGAGGAGCCAGATCTTCCCCTGGCTGGAATACACTCAACTATCACCTACAAGGATTTTTGTTACCCAGGAGACAATTAGGGTGTTAATACCAGATATATAAATTTTTGCATGAACTTGTGGATATGTTTTATATTGGCACACGAAACAGAACTCAGGCTCTTCACCTTTCAATGGGAGCAGTAGAAGTTACTTTTGTTCTCCCTTCTTATTTGTTCCCCTTTCGGAGATTCTTCTCTTTTTTTTTTTTTTTTTCCTGAGGCAAATCAAATGTACCTTATTGAGCTCATTTAATTTTCATAACTAAATGAATTAAACTCCCAAGTTTAATTGAATATTTTTCGTAACTAAATTAGACAGAAAGTCTCTCTACTCCCAGCAAGGGCTTGCGTTAGATCAAAGTCTTGGTCTATTTAGAGGAAAAAAATTACATGACACACTAGCTCATCACTTATAAAGAAGAAATGATAATTTATTAATAGAAATGAAAGCTGCAACATCTCAAATGAAATTATATTTAAAATGAAAAAAGACATTTAAAAATATTCAGATAATTTGCAGCCATATATTATTTCTCTAGAATAGGTGGGTTCCATTACATTAGCTAAAACAAACTGATTAAAATTGTGGAAAAGCTGGGGGGGGAGAGTGTGTACAGCATATGCTTTCCACAAATTCAACAGTAGATGATAAGGGATAGTTAATTGCATTGGAGGAGTTTCATTTGTATGGGTATAAAAGTAATTGCTTCGCATCCCTTAATTGGTTGTTACAACCCTGAAGGAATTTGTTCGCTGCTGTACAGCTTAAGGGCGCTCTGCTTACACAGATGAGGACAGGCATTTTTTGAGGTGTTTGGGGACAGTTCCCAAAAAAGGCTGAATTTGGGAGCTGGTGGTGTGATAGCTAGCCGGTCCAGAGGATCCTTCACTGCTTGTTTGATGGCAAGAGCCTTCTGAGATGCCCACAGGCTTTTTGTGTGCACCACGCTCTGCAGCAGGTCTCCAGGTTGGGATGACTCTTGGAAGGCAGAAGGTCTGTTTTCATTGTTCGGGGAGGGAGTTATAAGCATAACGCGTGAAGTTGACATTGTCCTTCCCACTGAGTTTGTCTAGAGGTGTTAACATTGTTTGGAGCTGGATCAACGTTCCATTGGCGCACATTCTCCCATGAGCATCAACATAATGCGCTGTGGTGGCCACCTCCCAGCGATGGCTTGCCTTTGGGTTAGGGTGGTACAGCAGCGCGGGGCTTGGCTTGGCTGTTTGCGTAGATCCCCTGACATGTTTCCCAGAAATGGGGCGTGTTTAAAAAAAAAAAAAATACATAAACACGGCTTAGTTGTGGGGAGGCTGCCCTCTCTGAGAGCTAAAGCTGAATTACCTGAGTCCGCCTGCAAGAAAAGGGTGGTCCTGTTCCTCACTGTCTGAATCCCCAGTATTAATTGCGTATTTCTTGGGTCTACCCACAAGCTGGCATCCCTGACCCAGTTTCAAACCAAGGTGACCAGAGCTGACTGTTTCCACTGAGCTGTACTGTCACTTCTCGGCATGTCAGAGAACCAAGAGTGGCTTCCCTTGTTAGCTTTTAGACGGGAGAAAAAAGCCATTAACAATAACAACAAAAACAAGATAGTTCAGAAGCAGCTCGACCTTTCTGGTTCAAAAACAGCAGCTTCAGTAAAGTATCACAAAGAAATTTCTGAGGAATCCTCTCCATCTGGGGAGTGCATTAAAAAAAAAAAAAAATCAGGCCGTTTGCTTTCAGAGCATATTTTAAAGCACGGGACACGCACTTTGCAAGGAACTTCGCTGAATTGCTGAATGTTTTTAATTAGATTGGAGCAAAGACCTACTGAGCAGGAAAACCTATCGTGCCTCATCCCCTCATTTTCAAGCCTACTGGAACAAACACGCTGTGAATGTGAGTTGGGGAAACAATCATCGCATTGCGCTTCAGGGTTGATTGTTGCAGTGAGGACATCAACAACATCGTGTTAGTGACCCAAAAGAGCTTGGGTGATGTACAGGGAGCTCAGTGGCATAACCTGAGGGGTGGGAAAGGTGGAGCAATGGAAAGTGTATACATGGGGTGACTGCTGTCATGCTCTGCATCCTGCCCCCAGTAGGGCAAGAAGGGGTGGGAGGTGAAGCTGGAGTTCTCTACATTTGCTATCGTTTGTGCGTTAAAAATGCACAGACTCCAACTCAGATTTCCCTCCCTTTCCTGGCACTTCATAACATATAAGACTTTCCCAACTTGCCTAGCCTGCGGATTGCTGGCGGTCAGCCAGCAGAGTCAGGGCTGAGCAGCTGCGTCCATCACTGCTGAGACCACATACAGATGCCTGATGAAGAATTGTAGAGGAGATCTAGTGAAAGCCTGCCATTATTAGAAATTAATGCGTTCAGGCTCTTGGCAGTTGTGAGACACTGTGCGTTATCCCTTGTGGGAAGGAGAGGGTGTAGTGGACATCCCCAACCTGATTCCACAAAAGTACCGGCAGCCCTTCAGACGAGGGATGGATAGATAACTGCCCATCACGCTCACACAACTGCCCGCATGTATAGGTACAGGCTTTGAATGTAAGGAACAGTGAATGGAAAACTTGCAGAGCAAAGAACAGTCTTATGTGTAGCATTTAATAATTTCCTGTATCACGTCCCGACTTTCAGGAAGGAGCCTAGATACTTCCATGGCTGAAGATGGTATTTTCTTCTTTGTGGGCAGGGACACAGAGTACTTTAAAGAAGCGCCTACTCTGAAAAGTAGTCTATAGAAGGGATAAAAGGTGACACCTCACTGAGCAAGTCTTGGGGTGAGGCGAATTTTCCTGCTTTTTATGTCTGAAGTCACTATGGCTAAGGGAGGTGTTTTGTGTTTATCTTACATATGTGCCCTGCAAGGAAGCAGGGTGGGGACAGAGGGGAATGCAGGAAAGGCTTTCTTCTTGTGTGGGTTGACATGTTGAGCTTCATGCTTTCGGTAACCAACAGCAGCAGCAGCAACAAGAAAAAACGTCCAGAACATTAAGTCTGACTTCAGAGAGCTGCATTAAGTAACAGGTGCCCAATTTAGGTCTTCATCCTGCTTTACAGTACTGGCGACGCAGTTACTTCTGTGGAAGCCGTCCCTGTTCACAGCGATATCAATAAGCTCAGAATTGGGTACAGACATTTCTAGAGTTCGTACGGAGTGAAGGGTAAATATAATAGGCATACAATTCCCTTTCAGCAAGGAAAAGGCTGGGCGCTTGTCACTGGTTCACAGGGGGCGGTGGGAAGGGGTGGGGGGTAGTACAGAAAGTGAATTTTCTTGCGAGATTAAATTACCTTGGTTGTCTGTTCCACTTCTATTTCCAGTCTTGGAGCCCTAATAGGCGTACGCAGCTGAATGCCGCTTTGCCTGAAGCGTGCAGCCACGGAGCAGTTGATGGAGTTAAGGGTGGCCCTTCTGCCGGTGTCTTCCCAGGAGGATGAGATTAAACCCACAGCCCACATGGAGTCTGGAGGGGGAAGCACAGTTGCTAGACCAGAAAACATGTTGTTCTAAGGTCCTCAAGAGATTTTTTTTATTTCATTATATGGCTGAAAGATTGCCCCAGATAAGAAGAAGCTGATCTTGGTGCCTTCCTGGCATTTACCTGTCTGTGTGTCAGTGTTGTTTCTGTGTCTGCAGCAGGAAGAGCCGAACTTCTATCGGCAAAGGCTCACTGCTGCACAGCGCTGATGCCCGGGGAGTCGCCGGTGTTCTCAGGGCTGTCACATCCACAGGAGGTGTCTTATCTGTTCTCGTGTCCTGGTTTGGGGTAAAACAGAACCAATTTTCTGTTCAGGAGTTTTACTTTTTAGTTAGGCCTCTTCTAACTACGGAAATTAACAGCACATTGTGCAGAGACTGTTCGCTCTCAGGGTGATAAGGCCTATGTTTATAGCTGATGCCCAGCCATGGTATGCAGAGAGGCTCTTGCTCATACTTATTGCTGTAACACCCACGGGCAGATAACTTGGTTATTTGCCCCATTGGAGGGTCAGACGCGGAAAAGGGAAGAGGGGTACCACCTGCGGGGAGGAGCAGACAGGACAGGTGACCCAAAACTGACCAACAGGGTATTCCATCCCATCTGCCTCATGCTCTGTATAAAAGCTGAGGGATCAAAAGGCCAGCCCTCTCTCTTTCTTCAATGGCTGATGTCTGAGGAGGACTCTGTTTGTTTGTCTGCCTTTGATCCCAATCCATGCATTCCTGAATCCAGATCAGGAATCCAGTTGCCATCCATCACTGAGTCCAGTCTGGGACTTCCCTGTGCCTGCTGGTGAGGTGATCAGGACCTTGATCTGATTTTGTATATATTTCTTTTGTTTGCTTGTTTTTATTATTAATAGTTCATTAAAGTAGTTTAGTTCCTTCTAAACTCATAAGGCTCTTTCTCTCTCTTCTGCCTCTCCTCAAGAGAGCATCTGTCACTCTCCCAGTGGCCAGTCTGGCCCAAATCACGGCATCTCACTGGCTATGCAACAGGGAGCCTTTACTCTGGATGCAGTCCTCTCGGGTGCCTTAGGTGGGATGAATCAAGACCTCATTTCATATTTGGGTTCATAGTTATGGTTGAAATACATGCATCATGTGGTTGCAATGGTTGCACTAGTAAGGTGCAGGTCTAATATGATATGGTCAGAGAAGGTAAATGGTTGTGGTTTTGTATACCCGTACTGTGAGGTTGACTCGCTGCAACTTGCTTTAGTACCTTCATGTATAGATACAATATTTAGGCATGGGGTGACTTGAGAGTGCCTCTGAAAGGCAGATGGGGACCTCTGTCTGTGTGAAGGAGCTCTCAAGGCGGGCAAAAACA